AAGCTCTCAGCAAGGTTCTGGCATAATTCTGGCTTTACATTCTGACTGATAACTTTTCTATCAGAATTGGTAGAGTTTCTTTGAACTGGTTGGTCACCAGGCTTATAAGCATATCTGATTCATTTTCATAATGTCAATTCTTGGGGCCATTATTGAAGCTAACTGTCAGTCCTCTTTGTCCATCCTAAAACCAGATTGATAGATGTCTGATAATCACCCTGTTGGAAATTGAAAATTCAAAGTGAGCTTGAAGAATCTTTCATTATTCTGCCAACAGTACCATTGGCATCTAAACACACCCGCAGATGCCATCGTTAATGTCTTTCAGAGTCGATATTGATATTCTTGGGTTTGAGTTTAATTTAGACTCCTCCAAACATTCTTCTTGTCACTCTATTCTAGATTGTCACCCTTTTAATACATGTCGGTATGAAACTGCCGACAGTTTGAGTGAAATCGTAGAAACTTTGACACAACTGGGTGTTCCAGCGGGACAATGACGCGAAACACACATAAAAGCTGGCTTGGGAATGGATAAATCATGGAAGATTGAACAGGGAGTATGCAAGCTGCAGTTTGGAGCCAAAGTTGACTCTTAGGACTTTCCACAGCGGCTCTTTGGTTTAAAACATAAGGACCAAAATACAGAGGTAATTAAGGTGTTAGCAGTTTTTCCATTAAAAAAAAGAATCAATTTTCTTTTTGCTAAAGGCTTGTTTTTCTTTATTTTAAAACCAAAGAATGTCTTGCAGTGACATGAACCGAGGACGGCTCCTTTGCCACGCCCAGGTCTGTGGTGTCTGTTTATATCCCGTAACGCTACCAAGCATTTTATAATTCAACATTTGAAAACAAGGCACAAGAGTTCTTTTTAAATTTAACACTAAAACCACAAAGAAAATGTCTCTTGTTCAAAGGCTAGTATGCTAGTGGGCTGTCTCCATCAGTTTTGTTTGGCTTTAGTTATATAGACTTAAAAATTCATTATATCGCTTTACTGCCATCTAGTGGACATTTTTTCAAGTTTGAATTTTATCAGTTGGTCGGCTCAGGCTGGACGGATGCTATTACTGGCTGCCATTCAAATAAATTTGTTCCTTGAACATTATTCATATGTAAGTTCGTGTTATTTGAATATTATGTAGTATTTTGTTTTTGAAGCTGATTATTTCAATGCGCCCCAGCTAACTTTGCAAGCTAAGCTACGTCGTTAGCTACTGTATCTGTGTAAAGAAGCATTCATGGTGGTTTTAGCAGAGGTCTGGTTGCCTTTAGTATATTAATTTAGTATGTATAATCGGTATTTCCGCTCATATTTTGTTAAAGTTTTGCGAAACTAAATGGACACAAATTGTGAATACGGCCAAGGGCTGGATTTTTGCCACCTCATGGGCTAGCGGTCTTGCTTTCTAGAGCGGACAGCAAAACCATTTACGAAGTTATTAAGCCATTGTTCCGCACCTTTCCACAAATTAAATTAAACAGAATTTTAAAGTAGTTTCTCCAAACAGAAATTTAAATGTTGCCCTAAATAGGACTGGGGATTTATCGTATTGCCGAGGGCAGGAAGGATCTCCAGTATTGAATCTTCCAACAAATCTGAAGAAGACTGTGACTAAAGACAATATGTATGATATTCTCATGTAACATGTAACATAAGCAATACCTCAATTAAAAAAAGAAAAAAAAACACAAACAAAAGTCTACAGAAAAAATACATCAGAGACACGCCAACAATACATCCCCCTCCCCATCCAATACAGGGAGGCTGGTCAATGTGGTAGAGTTCTCAAACGTCACAACACATTGTATGATGTCATAACCAGAGTCATGCTTGTGATGTCATCAGCTCTGTATGTATGTAACAAACTTCTACCTTCTTGTCATTGCTTGCTACAACACTGAAGAGTTCAGAAGTACGCAACGCGCTTTCAAAGTCAAGGTTGATATTGTTTACAGATCAAGATATGTCATATCAAAGGCCACAGCAATCGAACATCGGGTTGAGATCCCAGTCGTGGGCACGGAGAGCTGGACAACATCAGCAAGACCGGACTGAGAACAGACCATATGCCAATAAGGTCCAGAGAGAGAACCAGAGACTTGGCTCTCTCTTGGAAGTGGAGAGAGCAAGATGGTTTGAGTTGAACCAAAAGGTAGTCACTCTGGAGAAAGAACTGGAAGAAACAAAATCTGAGTTGCAGAAGCAAAAAAATCTCAAGGACATGTACATCAAGAAGAGCAAAGAGATGAAGAGAGAACTACTGGCAGTAGAGAAGTTTACCGATCCAGAGGCGCTCAGCCCTGCCATTATCGCTTCCCAGGTGCACAGCGATATAAAACACAAGAGCAAAAGGCTGCTGCAGCAGGACTTAGAGCAACTGAAGGTTGCTCATATTGTCAAAGAGAAAGCATTTATGTCACAGATCCAGGCAGAAAAAAAGAAAAGCGACACCCTCCAACAAGAGCTGGACGAGATCAAGGCTCGCTACGAGGAGCTTCAGTTAAAATATGAAGCCGACATTCGTGAGGGGAAGCCGAAGGTCAACAGGAAGATGTTTTATGAAGAGAAACTCAAGCAGGACCAAAAGCTCTTTGAAAATCTGAGAGCAGAGAAGAACAATCTCCAAGAACAAATGTCCAGGGAGATCGCCTGCCTGCAGGAAACGGAGAGATGTCTGCAGAGTCAGCTAGAGCAGATTAAGGTTTCGTTCCAAGAACTAAGCTGGAGGTATGAAGAAGATGTTTCTGGACTGAGACAGAAAGCAGAAGGTTATCAGCTTGAGATGAATCATGAGAAAGAAGCGCATTTGGAAAGAATAAAGGAACTTGGAGCCGAGAAGGAAAATCTCCAAAAAGAGCTCACTGCCTTGAAACAAATGTACTCCACCAGCTCCGTTAATTATAAAAAGGAGGTGGAAAATCTGAAAACGGAGCTCCAAGAGAGAGAAGAAGTGGAACCTCCAAGAAGGAAAGTGGCCAGGCGACCGGAACCAAATGGGAAAAAACACACTGCCCCTGTAAACAACATCTCTGACCCGGCATCCATGGATCTCGACCAACTCTTGGAGGAAACCCTGTCAGAGGATATTGAGATACCTGATGCATCAGATAAGGAGGTAAATGACTTTGTAGAAGAAATGCTGAGAGAGTCAAGCATTCTTGATCCCAAACACTGGAAATGACAGACCTCTGTATGAAAACTCAGGTCAGAGAAAAGTGAAAGCCCAGATCCAAGAGGCCCTAAAACAAGTTTGGGAAAAGATACTGCACTCTCTAGGTCTCAAGAATCTGCAAAAATGGGTCAAATGCAAGAAGGCTACTAAAACAAGCAGTTAGAACCCTTTCAAAATTCTCCAAATATATCTCAAATTATGGACAAAACAAAAAACAAAACAAAAAAATACACAAATAAGCTGCATGGCTTAGCCGCAGCCACACAGAAAAGACGTCTCATTTCTTAACTGGGCGCCTCTTTCTGTAGGTGGTTGAAGGTTCTCTCTGTGTTATTGTGGGTTTTCTCTGGGTGCTCTGCACAAAAAAATCAATATAACCGTGGATACCTGCCTACCCACCTAGGTAGTTAGTTGGGTATCTTACCTGCCCATCTAACTACCTACCCATTCTCCTAATTACCCACTCCATACTGAATTTGAGCTGTGCCCATCATTCAGCCCAACTAAAATACATACACACATATGTATGTGTGTGTGTGTGTGTGTGTATATATATATTGAACGATTACATATTTTTTAAGGTCGACTACATCATGATAATAGTCGAGTCGATGTCGACTAGTCGCGCTTAGGTCATAGTGACGTAAGCGCAAAATGCGTCACAACTACTTGGAGGCTTTATCAGCTATTTTCACAGCAAATATTGACACCCTCTTCCCTTCTCCCGCTTTTACTAAGTCTATTATGCAGAAATAAAAGAGCAATAAACAGATCATTCTTCGTGAGCAGCGGAGAAAAGTTCGTTGCACAAAGTCGGGTCTGACTTTGCTGCTCCTCCGCCCGATGCGCAGCAGGACGCTCTGCTGACTCAGCAGCGGCTCTCTGAACCGACATGCAGACGGCGGCCGAGATCTCCTCTATCAGATCCTCAGGATGAAGCTTGGACTTAGTTTCCAGATGTAGTCAAACCATATCTTTATAAGAGCGTAAAGCTGCCAGGTTAAAAGCTTCAATTCGCAGAGTGACGCTGATCAGTTGGGGGTAGATGAGGGATAAAAAAGCCTGATATCATGACGCGTTGTCGCACATTACTCCGGTAGTGTTTTTTTTTTTTTTTAAGGATTTTTTCGGTACTAGTTTATTTGACAGCAATCTGACTGTAAGGGGGCAGAGAGAGCGGAGAGGCCTGGGCCCAGTGAGTGGAGGACGGGAGTCGGACTCCTGACTACCGCGGGCTAAGGTCTCTGTATGCGGGGCGCTGCACTAACCACCGCGCCGCGCAACGCCCCTATTGCGGTGGTAGTCTATGCTGTAATTTACAGTTTGTCTTTGTTAAATTATTTACATTTTTATACAATTTGATCTTTCGGACGAACTCGCCTAGTCCATCTTCTTTCATTTCCTTGGAAAAATCTGTTTTGTCATGTGATTGCAACTAGTCGACTGGCCCAGAAAAAAAAGTCATTGCAGAGAAAAGAATCGACTAGTCGACTAATTGGTGCAACCCCTAATATTGGACTTTATATATATATCAATGTAATAACTGGACTTTATACATCTATCTATCTATCTATCTATCTATCTATCTATCTATCTATCTATCTATCTATCTATCTATCTATCTATCTATCTATCTATATATATATATAGTTTTGCTGCCAAACTCTGGTTGATGCAATAACCCTTGAATATCCAGGGGAAGTAGCCAGATCATTAAGTACCAAATGGCACCACTATTGCTGTGAAAGAAATGCATTATTTTGTAGTTATGTTTAGCAAAGCCATAATTTTTAAGCTGCTAAATTAAACATCTCTCATATGTTACAGAAAACATTTCAATGTTTATTTGAATCCATCTGCAAAGACACGGTGGTGCAAAACCTCATTCTAATAAATTGTCTTTTAAAATGCTTTAATGAAAATGACAATAAAAAACAAAAACATTTCAGTATTTTAAGAATCCTTTCAAATGGATATTTGAAGACGTCTCTCAAGCACAAACAGCACCATGACATTTTGAGAAATGGTTCTCTCTGATGATGTTGACCGCTGCTAATTTCCCAATACAAGGAAACCACAGGATGCCTCACACTGCTGGTTTAAGTGTTATAATTCTGAGGAAGCTAGCAAAAACTTTCACACAGCTTGCTCAAACCTTCACAATAAACTTTCAGCAAACATGTAGTTTCACAGTTTTGGTATGTTGGACACGCTGAGTAGTAAATGTGAAATGTTACGCTGCTTATATGGTGCATGTTTGCTGTTGCTACGGACGGCCTTGATATATTTACAGTTCTAGTCTTTCCATTGCTTCCAACCAACTTCAACTACATTTATGGTGGAGAAGCTGCTCTTATTTTCTTAAGAGAATGTAATCTTGGCTTTACATCTAAAATAAACAAAACAAAAAGAGAAGGCCTTTATTTTTATCTTTTGTTTCTTTTTTTCATTTAAAATCCCAGAATTCCAAATGTTTCTGCCGTCTGCCAACAGCTGGAAGCAAGCGTGACCGTCCATTTTCCAAACTTTTCAGGACTCCCAATTTGTAGGCTGTAGGTCTCTCTAGATGTTTCACAAACCTTTTAACAGGTTCCAGACCCGTTTAGAAACAAATGTTTAACGGGGCCTTGGAGGGACTCGAATGTTTTGTCTGTTTTAGTGCTCATCTGTCCACGAGAGGCTGGAATCGCACAGCGGGACCGGGGCAGACCGTGAAACCGGAGCCCTGAAAAATCTGTTTTTCCATTTAATGTCCGACTGAAGCCTCCTTTGGTACCAAACGCTCAGGGGTGAACCGCTGTCATCTAGTCTTACAAAACTACAAAGAACATACAATAAACTTTCATTTGCACAAACCCACATACATTAAAAAACAAACAAAAAAAACATAAGGAATTAAAAACAGTGAACATTGAATAGAGACCACGTCAACCCCCATCCCTTATTAAACTGTTCTCCCCCTGGAAACACTCAACTAATGTTTTCCAAAACTGTCTTGTTCTCTTCTCCCTTGTTCGCTCAATCCCTGCCTTGGGGCAGGAGTGGTCCACTCCATATTGTCTTCATTAGAGCTGCCGAGCGTAGACCTGGTTCGGAGAGACGGCGTGTGTGTGTGTGTGTGTGTGTAGCTTGGCTGAGGCTGCCAGGTCCTAAACCACATTCTTTAAATTCCCTGTAAACAAGGGGGAGACAGAAATGAGAGGGGTGAGAGAGGTTACATGGGTGAGCACTCAAAGCACACAAACCCGCAGAGAAGGAGGAACGGCAGAAGAGGGTCAGATCCTTCTCATTAAGCCAGGCTAAACACATATATTAAGACACCAAGGGAAACCGAGCACCAGTGCCATGGAAAATGCAAAGCAACATCTGGCAGAGGCAGAGGTGAGCCCCATCAGTCTCCCGAAGAAACACAAAGCATGCAAAGCAGGGAATCGGTATGAAAATGCCAATCGCCGAGAACTCATTTGCATGAGGACGCAGATTGGTTTCCACGCCCGACTAACGCTCAAATACAGACACAAAGCAAGTGTTTGGACACAATAGGCGCTTTATGAAGTGTAGTTGACGGTTCACTTTGGCGGGAATAATGTCGCATTGTTGGTCCTTTGTCATGCTAAAGCACTCCGATTGGTAAAAACAAACGCGCGGCACGTGCACTCTGAGGGGATGAGTAATTGCCCTGACGCACTGAGGGAGGATGTCCTGTTTGTCGGCCATTGTGGAGCTGTCAGTGCAGTCCCCCGTCACGTTCCCCGAGTACAGTGAACAACAGCTTTATCGAAACAACTGGAACAACAACTGGCAGCTCTGAAGTATAAACATTAATACCGACCGGTCTGGTGTTCGGGCCTACAAATATGTAGGGAATGCTGCAGCTTCTTCGCCTCAGGGAGAGGGCACCGGTTAAACTTTGAAAATACTGCAAAAACTCAGAGCCATCGGACAAAAAATAAAAAACAAACTTTATTGCGTTTTTTTTTTTTTTTTTAATTCCGATGACAAACTGCATTACTTGGTGTTCCTTCCACTGAGAGGATAAAGTGCAAAATGTAGAAAACTACAAGAAACAAAGCAGCAAATGAGCCCAGATGCTGCAAACTTCCAAACCTCCCACACCCACTATGACAGGATGGTTTACTGGTGCGACTGATTTATGGCTTCTTGCTGCAGATAAAGCTCAGCTGCAACATCAAGACATGCCAGTCGTGTTCATCTTCAGGCTATTATTCCTTCTTCTGTCCCCCATACAGTTTGCATTCTTTCTGCTTCAAGAAGGCTTATCTGCACCACGCGTTCCTGCAAGCAGAACAAACACGCAGACATCATGGATGATTTTCCAAAAGCTAAACTGTACACAACTTACTCCATCATCTGTTGGATGATTAAAGACAGGAAGCGCTTGAAAAAGGCGGATGGAAATCAAAACGTTAGCCCTGTCGCAGTTTATTTTCTTCACATTTTTAACAGTTTGATTGTTTAGCTACGACTCTTTTAGAGATTTAGTGGTATGAATACTTTCACAAAATGCTGTAAATCGGAATTACAAATTAACATTTTACTACCGCAATTACCAGTAAGATTTGTCCGTCCTGCAGCCATGTTGGATTTTGAATCCAGAGTAGGTGGAAAACCTCTGCCTTTGCTGGAATTACGACTCCACGCTCTGTCCTACTTACTTCTCCAACCTTAGAGTTATGAGCACAACAGCATAAATCAGAATTTCTCCACTTTGCTGTTTATGTTCTTCGAGATGAAATACATTTGCTAAATGTCATTCCTTTCTCTCTACCTGCACTTCATCCCGCTCCGACTTTCACATGAAATCCGCCAGAGACTCAAAACACGTTTTCAGAAAACGACATAATTTGAGCAAAACAAAACATTTGAAAGGCCACATGTGCTTTTGGATTATTTATAACTTGTTTTAAATTGCGAACAGAAAGCAGCTCCTTCAGATTAAGCTGTTTTCCACTGGATTCCAAGAAGAGTGATCAGGAGGAGCTTTAGGAATGGTGAAATGGAAACAGTCCTGGGAGATAACTTCAGATACGTTAAAAAAAAAACAAACAAAAAAAACCCATCTGGAGATAAAATGGAAACAGACTAGGAATTGATTGCTAGATAAAGAAACACCACTGTTAGAGTTCACATTGAAGAAAGCAGTTGTTGATCCCACCTCCAGGTTAAAAGAGATTGGACAAGTTAGGCTTGATGGATTTTTGTGTTTTTGGTCAATCTTTTTTTTTTTTTTTTTTTTTAAAGTAACAGTAGTTTCAGTCAAAACCTTACCCCGTGTGCTCCACAAGAACAAAAATACAGAAGTCTCTTAAGCGTGGCATGCATTCTAGGACTTTCTTCTTTCTTAAATAGTTGCAGCATTGGTAAAAAAGCCAACCATAGGCCACATGTACAGCCAACCGCAGCTTTGACAACGCACCAACAGTTCCAGATGGAGGCACTTTCTACACGCAGGACCTTTTTTTTTTTTTTGTTCTTCTAAAAAGTATGACAAATGGAAACTCAAAAATCCTGATGCAGACTAAAAACAGGAAAGGGAGCTCGGACGAGAGGAACAGCCTTTAGCAGTGGGGCCTCGGCAACAGGACATTCGATGAAAAACAACCGACGTCGAAAGGAACTGAGGCGTTTTCATCTGTCTTGGGGAAAGGTTGGACTCTGTCAGAAACTTTACCGTAACACTGGGAAACTTGGAAAATCAAGTTGAAGTTAAATTATTCTGTTATAATTAATACAGTTACCCAAACTACACGTCATTACAGTCAAGATATAGTGACGTACAAAAGTATACAGATTTTCCAGATGGTTTTCTCAAGATAACTACTTAATTTTCTGTTTCCACATACATGTTCAATCAAGATAAGTTAATGACTGGTGATTCCATCCGCTGTGGATGGAATCAGGTATAACACACACACACCGATCATCTTGTGACCTCAGATTAACTCGTTAACCCGAGAAAACCATCGGGAAATTATATGCGAAAAATGAGAAGTTAACCCGTTTTCTTAAGAAAACCCTCTGGAAAAAATATCTGCTTTCCGCTTCCGTATAAGACAACCAAAAAGTTCAATTGTTTGTGTTTTTGGGGGATTTTGTGAGAAAGATAATCACAAAAAAAAGAAGAAAAAAGCAGAGAATAACTGCGAAGTGGAATAAAATATGTGAAAAGTGTGGTGGGCATTTATATTCAGCCCCACTTAGTCAAAAGTTTGTAAAAAAACAACAACAACAAAACACAACCCTTCACTGCAATTACAGCACCAAGTGTTTTGTGGCACGTCTCTACCAGCTTTGCACATGTAGAGATATTTTTGTCCGTTTCTCTTAACTCCGACTCAGACTACGTGGGCAAAGTCCACGAATCGTCAAATCAGATGATATCTTGACAGTTCTCTGTGCTGAGTCTTCTGGCTCATATTTAAAGTATAAAAAATGATCTTCTCGGAGAATTAATCCGCACAGGGAGCTGGATGTCAAACACGTCCAACTCTGCAGACAGACTGGGGAAAAAGACAGCTGTGCACACGCACAAGAAACTTCACGCCAGTGAAAAGAGTCACAATTGTGCGCAAAGCCTCGGGGGAAATTATGCTACCACTCTTGTAAAAGCAGAGCTGTAAATACACACAATGAGATGGCTGCGGCAACCAAAAAACACCTAATAAAAAGCATATTTTAGTTTACACTGTCTCAGTCGTCATGTGTGAATGACAAACGTCAGGAAAAATTGAGTAATCCTTTAATGCTGCACCCGACGTATTTATTTTACTACGCTTCAAAGAACATTAAATGGCTGGTTTACAATCGTAATAAAAACTAGGATGTTTCTGATGTCTCCGACAGAAATATCGTCATTTTTTTTTTTTTTATGCCTTTGCCTTAACTGGAATGTTAGCATGAAGACTGCAACTGTTTTTGCAAATACTGGTCATTTAATTTTGGTGGGCCGCGCTTTGTTTGCCATCATGGAAGGAAAAAAATTCAACTGTGGTACGACTTCAATCCCAAATTCACTTTACACCAGACTGGGTGAGTATTTTATACTTTAGTCATTTCCTGATTGTTTTCTTGAGAAGTTTCAGGAACTCAAACTTTTCCAGTTAGCTTTACGCAACTTGCTATAATTAGCTACATATGTTGTAAAATGTTCAGACTTAAAACCAGTAACAGATTTCATAGGAAGTAAATGAATAATTTGAAGCAGGAAATTGAACCGTGAGATGTTTTTTGTGTTTTTCTGTCATTTCCTCTTTCTCGCTCTCTCTGATCGCTCCTCTGCAGTGTCTGTTCAGCTGCTACTTTTTTCTCTCTCTTCTTTACTTATTAAACATCCAGAAATGAAGACCAGCATCTCCTGAAGCCAGCAGAAAAACGAGCTAATAATAGAAAGTGAAGCAGTAAGATTTCATTAGAAGGAAGCTGGAATCACTGGCAGGAGCCATGAAACTAGTTTTGTAGCTGCATGGTGTGGTATGCTACTGTTAGCGAGCGGGTAATTGAGCTTAAGCAGGAGAAATATAGGACAGAGAAATCAGGGAGCAAACATTAGCATAATCCGAACGATGCGGACATGAACAGTGTAGCAATGAACAACAATGTTTCTAATCAGTTTGTGGATTCATTTTTGTACCCAACACAGACGTAAAATCAGCCCCTTTTAACCTGTTTTACATCCGTTTGTTGATTTCCGACTTGCAAAGACAAATCTCACATCATGTAATGTGCTTGAACATAAACGTTTGAATTTTTTTATTACAATATTTTAAAATATGTTGGCTCTGATTACTATTGTTGACAGTCGACTCCAATCATTACAGCTTCCAATGAAACCTAAATTGCTCTAAACGACCCCCTGCTGCTCATTGCTATTGGTCACATAAACTCACTTCCTTGCTGTACAACAGGGCAACATGATATAATCAACCTGAGGCATTATCGACATATAAATGTTTGCAAAATCACCATTTCAGATGGCTGCTTGGATGCAATATTGGTTAAATTTGAATCCTTTAAAACACTTGTAATCAATAAGGTCTTACTTTTTTCACCTGGACTAGATCTTAGTAACCAAGATCAGAAAGTTGAGGAGTTGTGGTGGAAATTAAAGTAAACAGTGAGATTCTGTGGTCTTAGCTGCTTTATTCTACAAAG